GCTCCCCCAGACTGGGTCTGGTTCCCCTGCTGTAAGAGCTCAGTGCTCCTTATACACTTTCTTCATTGCACTTAGGACAATTGCTATTATCGCGTCTCAGTGGAATTATTTCAACAATGTCTCCCCAGCGGATCCCTAAGCTCCAGGTGAGCAGGGCTTGTCCGTTTCTGCTCATCACGAGGTCCCCAGGCACACAGTCAGGCACAAAGGCATATTTGTGCAATGAGCGAAGGAACGAATGACTGGGAACTGGTCAAAGGAAGGCAGCTTACATTCCACCTGGCCCCAGAGGACCCGCTTGCTCCCAGTTCTGCAGATCCCAGTACCGTCCCAAGGTGCCAGGCTCTGTCATCCCTCCTCCTCCCCAGAGATGGTTCCCAGCCAGGAACGTCGAGGAGGGAGGGGCTCTCTCACCTTTCCGTGTGATGGGACCCAAGTTCAGGACCCGGGATTGGTCTATGACGCCCCCACTGCGGAATCTGGTCCCGCCGGAGCAAGTCTGCAGGGAGAGGGCGATAGAGAAAACCTTCTGTGAGGGCGCCGGGGTGTGGTCCTGCCCTGCGGAGTGAGCTGCACGCCTCTTAGAGTCGGGAGATCTCTATACCTGGGCTCATGTCCTAGCTCTATCGCGTGCTAGACAGATGTGTGATCTCAGGCAAGTCACTCAAGTTCTCTGAGCCCCTGTCCCCGTGTAGCGATATCTCCCTTACAGAGTCACTATAAAGCATTAAAAAGTTCACACACACGAAGTGGACATAGTGCTTAACATGGCAGCTCCTGTGGTTAGAACACGAGCTTGCAGATGAGCCGGAGCCTTCACCAGCCCGCCGCAGTTCACGGGCCCCCTGACTTCCCAGCAGCGAGGCTTCCTGCCTGGCCACGCCCACCCCACCGTAGGGCTCCTTCTGGCCCCGGGTGAAAACGGACACACAGCAGAGACGCTGATTTGTTTTCTTTGGGACTTTACGTCTTTGGCTGTGGGAGATGGGCTTGAGGGGGGGAGGCGACTCACAGGCTTGCAGTTTTCGTTCATGAAGTCACAGAGATACACTTCACAGTGCAGATAGACCAGGTCGTAGTTTCCAGTAAACCGGAACATCTGGACGGAAAATCGGCTCTGCGGGGACTCGCCGTTCTCCACCACCTGGACGGTTGAGTCCTCAAGGCTTGGACATCTGGGAGGGTTACGTCACATAACGTGGCTGGTTAAGCAAAGACTCTGGAGCAAAGACTCACCCCTCCACCTGTGTGACCTTGGGCAACTTACTTAATCTCTCTGTGCCTCAGTTTCTCCATCTGTACACAGGGGATAACTGTAGCCCACATCATAAGACAGTTGTGAGGATTAAGTTAGTTAATCTTTAAAGCGCCTAGAACATTATGTGGCCCACTGGAGGTGCCATATATATTTGATACTAAAGCAAAAATGTTATCACCACAGAGTTGAACCCATCCAAAAGCCAGCAATTTCATATTTCCTTGGAAATGGCATTTGAGGGTCATTAACTACTATGTGCCTGGTATAACTATAATGACGGAAACCTCTGAGTACTGAGGGCTACTGACGAAACTGGAATGTATATACCCATCTGTGCACATAAACAATTGCACAAACACTCTTATGAAGAGAAATTCAAAATAGCACATGCAGAGACCCGCACGTGTGCTGGGCTGGGTCAGGATACATGGGCATTTGGTGCAGGCAAACTGGGCACCCTCTCTGCTATTTCCGCACCGTTTGCTCAAAGTCGATGTAGAAGAGAGGCTGAATGCTGACAGAGAGAACTGAGAAAGGAACTTCTGGGGGTGGCTTTTGCTCTCAGCTCTGTGTCCATCACAATTCATATCTAACCCCAAAAGTGCAATCCCCAGTTGGCAAAATAAAAGGCTTGAGGTTAAGTGGACCCACCTCCTGAAAGGCAGAGAGCATGGCCCATGGTGGCCCGGCACACTCAACCCAAGCCAGGCATCCAAGTGTCCCCTCCAGCCACTTTCTCTGTCTCCCCAACTTGTCTCCTTGTCTTTTCACGTCTAGGGATGTTTTGATACCTCTCCTAACCTGGTGTTTCTCAACCCAGCCCCCACATGCACCCAGACAGAAATGCACACAGATACAACCCACACTGCTTCCTGCTTCTTTTTCAAAACTTTCCAAGTTTTCCACAATGTGCCTGCTGTACTTTTATACTAAGAAAAACAACCTTAAAAATCCCAGAGCAGTAGGTACTATTTACCCCCATTCATGTCTGAGAAAATGAATATCTAGAAAGATGAGCTGACCTGCGTCTCAGAACTAAGAAACAGCAAAGCCAAGATTTGAACCCAAATTTCTGTGATGTCTGAATTAAGGTCATGCCAATATTTCCCAAATTTAAGTTCTTTTTTTCCTTATCAAGATACCACCTTTATGAATGTTTTCCTGTGTATCTCAACATCTGTTATTATTATTTACATGCTACTTTTCTTTAAATCCACTTACATTTTCTACTGAAATACATTGCTTTTCCAGAATAATCTTTAGATCATGACCACAAACAGAAAACCAATGTCACTTGCCATAAATAGATAGAACCATACAAATGCATACATGGTTAACAAAGAGTTCTATTAAATTTTAATTAGATGCTTAATTGCAAAAGGTTATAAAATAGACTTCTGCTTTCTTTTTATTGCAAAGGGAGATTACAAATAACAGAGGTTAACATCAGATTAGCACCCAACTGGTAAGTTCCCCTTGATGGAACTAGGCAGATTCTAAGAGAACTGAAATGAGAAGAGGACACTGTCTCTACGGGAGGCTCTCTCTGTCCGTACTATAATATTAAAATTGCAAATGCCTCTCTTCTTTTCTTCCCTTTTTGCTATGGGCTCTTTATCATTAAAATACTATATATTTCACGTTCATTTAATTACGGGTCTTGCCCTGTTAGAATATAAGCTGTATGAGGGCAGAGGTTTTGTCTCTTCTATTCACCGTGGTACCCACAAAGCCTGGCACACAGCAAGCTTCTAAGATACCTGTTCGACTTGTGGGTGAAAACGTGAACCGCTTTCTCACGGTGAAGTTCACAGCCATCTAATGCCTCCTGAGTGAAAAGCAGAACACTTGCATCCTCCCGGTTTCAACTGGCCCTTGGCTAACTGAGCCTATGCCTCCCTCCTCCAAGCCAGGTGCCAGGCGGCCTGCTGCCCTGGGCACA